AAAAAAGAGTTACCCTAGGAGCTCTAACCCCATAGCACGAATCCGATCGGTTAAGTGTTTTTTTTTTTTTCCAGTTAAGTTTAGCAAAGCTAGGAGGCTCGATCCTCATAGAGGAGCAACAATCAGCTCAGTTGCACCTAGTTAAGCTACAAAGGAATCTCTAAACTCAACGCAACAATCAGTTAAGTCACACGCTAAGCTACTACTCTCGTGGAAGAATCACTCCAATCCGTCGTGTTTGAAAGCTCATCATCAAAATCTGCTTTTTCTTTTCCTCTTTTCTTCACTAGTCGCCGTCTTCTTGATCTTTCTTTCCTGCTTCTTCCCGCTGCCGCCTTTGCTCCTCCTCATGCATGAGCTCGATCATCGCCCTTTGCGTTCGCCTCTCCAGCTTTGCAAGTTGCTTGGCGACATCCCGGCGAAGGTCCCAGTTTGGCTTCCTCGGTGCAATGCTCACAATTGGATCGACGTCTACTTCTCCTAGCTCTTCGGAGCCGGAGGGGCCTTTCATAACAGGTTCAATGAACTTTGGAATTTCGGGTCCGACTATCCGTCTCTCCAACAGCTTTTTGTCTCTGGGCAAGTAATTTCGAAACCGCACCTCACGCCCAGCATCACCATCGCCTTTTCCACCTCTACCATCCTCCTCCTCCTCCTCCTCCTCCTCTCCAGCGTTGCCTCCATCTTCAGCTGCTTGGGATGTATGCCCTTCCCTGCTCCTCCCCTTACTACCCCCCTTCTCTTCTTCGCCCTCCTTCTCAGCACTGCCCCCCCTCTTATTGTCAGCATCATCCCCTCTTTGATCCTCAAGGGAGAACCCAGCCACTGGCACCTGTTCCTCTGCTGCAGGCCCACCTATTGCTACTTCCCTCAGTGCACGCAACCGGTCCCTCCTGGACAATGCCTCCTCCATAAGCTCAGACAGCTGCAAGACGCAGAGAACTCTGTGTTGATCTCTCTCTCTCTCTCTTTTGCTGATTCCAGGTAGGCGATGTCTACCTACACTTTGCCACGTGTCAAGCTCACACTTATTCTCGGCGGATAATGTCTACCAAGACATGCCACGTGTCAACTTCAAGCTGAGTCCTGCCCGATAATGCCTACCAGCCTTCGCCTCGTTGATGCTGTGTATACTCTCGAACTTAACAAGTCCATTCCCACCACACGATGTCTACCAGGTCACGCACTACCAGCCTTCACTTTGCTTGATGCTGAATACTCGGTACCTCGCCAGCCAATATTCTCCTCATACCTACCGTCTTCACCCGAATACAAAGTACGGTCATTATCGCTGTATTTGGGGCAACTTTGAGAACAGATAAGAGCAATAATGACCATGAGTTGTATCCGCAGGTGAAGACGGGACCTGCAGCAGCCTATGGATCCACGATCTTGTTGGATGTCTCCCGGCCTGCAACCCACAAGAGACCACACTGTGCCATCACAGGAATAACAGAGTCGTTATCACTCTGGCGAAGCTAAAGCCAACGAGCTGTCTAATGCCCTCAAGTCAAACTGCTGAAAGAGTGAGTGTCCATCTGACCCAGGGGGTTCGCACGCTGCGCGTGCAAGTGCATGGTCAGTTTTGGCTTCCCCGTGATACGCATGTCGTCTGTTTGTGCGCTGTGCGTTGCGTTGTGCGTTGTGCGTTGTGCGTGTGCTTGTGAACTGTCAGCACAACAACCCCTTTTTCCACCCAGATTAGCAGATGCCGAAATTGAAACAGCTTTACCTCAACAATAGCAAACAACGTCAAGAACACTAACCTCGTTATAGTTCATTTTCCTTGCGCAGTCCTTTTTTCTTTGCTTGCATTTGGCTTTTTTGGGGGGCGAGTCCCTTTTTTCTTGTTTCTTCTTGCAGCTCCCCTTTTACGGTGCCTACAAGGCTCTCCACCTTGATTGTGGTTGAGCGCGAGCTGCCCACATCCCTGTTCGTTTTTCAGCACACTTTCACATTATATTTTCCGTTCTGTTAATGATGCAAATTGATATTCGTTTAGCGGTGCTATACAAGGGAAAGGAGGAAGGAAAACGGGGAAGCGGAGGGAATAGTTCAACACAAGGGGTATATATCCCAAAAGTTGATCAGTCCGAATGCATCTGGTCCAGAAGATAGCCAAGATACCTGTAGAATGCTGAGCAGTGTAGGGAGGCCCAAAGACCCAACTTAAAAAAAAAAAAAAAAAAGTTCAACACAAGGGGAGGGAGAAGAGAAGAGGGGGGGGGAAGAGGACGAAAGTGGAAGATCGTATGAAAGACAAACTTCACATGATTCTAATAGATTTGGAGCATCATCTCAATAAAAAGAAAAAAGTTATCAGCGCCGGAGCAGACTACTACGAAATGACACAAGAAAGCGCCCAGTCAGTGTTTGGGTTGCAGAGAGAGAACATTCATTTGAGGAGCCGGCGTTGCCTACGGTAAGTGGCCACCCCTGCAGACCAGACAGGACCGGTTCGGGTGTGGACTGTGGAAGCACAGGATCCAACTCTCAAAGTTGTAGTCGCTGCATCCAATGGCGTGGGGTAGACAGATGTCGCAAGCTACGTGGCTCCCGCATGGCCAGGAAAACAGAGACATGGCAACTGCAATTGTACAGGCATTGTCGTTCCGGCCCTGTCCACAAATAGGTCATGCATGTCACTGTGGAAGCACCGAATCCAACTGCCAAAGTTGCAGTCGCTGCATTCAATGGCGTGGGGTAGACAGATGTCGCAAGCTACGTGGCTTCCACATGGCCAGGACAACAGAGACATGGCGACTGCAATTGTACAGGCATTGTCGTTCCGGCCTTGTCCACAAATAGGTCATGCATGTCACTGTGGAAGCACAGGAGCCAACTCTCAAAGTTGCAGTCGCTGCATTCAATGGCGTGGGGTAGACAGATGCCGCCGCAAGCTATGTGGCTCCCACATGCCAGGAAACCAGAGACACGGCGACTGCAATTGTACAGGCATTGTCGTTCCAGCTGTGTCTAAAAATCGGTCATGTCAACAAACGAGCCTAGCTCAGTTGGTGCACCCATGAACTGGTGAAATACAGACCCCTTTAAGTTCAAATCCTGACGGACGGACCTAGATGTATGCAATGAAATCATTCTGAATTAATTACATGGGACTGGTCAGCTCGAGGATGCTATCTCAACGCCATATCGCCCTTTTCACAGAAAGAAAGGAAAGCCTTGTCAGGGTGTTGTAGACGAGTACAATGTTGACTGTCATCATACGTCTGAAAACAACGACTTGCATGGGGGTATACCTCCTCCATAATCCTCATGGTACAATGCTGATCACATGCTAGCCGAATCTCAGGTGGGGCATCACAACCCGGCATTGATTGAGTAATGTCCTGGGTTTCTGCAACTGATATTCCCTCTCTATGGGCAAGAAGATGACGGGGCCAGATCCAAAGTAAGGGTGTTCAAATTTTGCAAGATCGGCTATGCAATGGCTCGCCCTGATGACGATAACATGTCAGTACGGTGCACTGCAGGCGGTTCATGTGAGAGTCTATTCTCCACCTCAGGCTGCTGCATCTGTCCCTCATCTGGCAAGGATTTGGGGGGGGGGGGGGGGGGGGGGGGGGGGGGGGAGGGAAGGGGGTTGTTGTTGTTGAAGTTAGTCAAGCACGGCGTGTCAAGGCCATTATGGCATATCGGGCAAGCAATAAGAGGGTGGGGGGAATTAGACTCAATTAGAGCAAAACAACGGGTCACAGTTCTTGCAGCAGGGGTTGGGACTCGGGAGTGACCATCCCTTCACAGTGACTGGAGCAGAGATTGTGTCGTGTGCAAGCTAGCCGATCTGTGCCTGTGCGGAGACAATGTGATGCCGCAGCCGCCGTCTTCTGAAGGGGTCCCCCCTCACTATCTGCAGCAGAATCTGTACAATCTGCATAGGCCAGGGACACAGTACGGCCGTGTTCAGGGCACGGCAGAAGGTCTCCACCGGATTGTTCTCTGGAGGCTGTAGAGCTTGCAACAAGTGCACATACTCTTACTGTTTCTTTTTTTTCCCCCCACATACTCTTTTCCAGATTGCCCAGTCAGAACAAGTGGGATCCTGTCGCTCTGTCACTCGGTGTTAAATTGATAATAAGAACCTATCAGGTTTTATTTCCGAGTGAGTGCACCCTACTGCCATGATAACATGGGTCTGTGAATTATCTGCAAAGGTAACAGCACTGACATGACCCAGGCGATCCAGGATGTACACACGCACGAATATTCGGGTCCATGTCAAGCATATGATTTCTGCGGACTGCGCAGGAGTTGCAGTCGGCAGTCGGCTTCTCAGATTTTTTTTTGTTTTTTATTTTTTTAATTAGAAAGCCCAGGTTGTTGTAGAGGTGGGATACTTGACGGATGGCAGTCGCCCACAGTACTCAGCCACTCGGCTGTCCAGATGAACCCCTCTGAAGACCCCACCCACCCTTCCTCTCATCTTTTTGGCCTGGCGCACCCTCACCCCCCCTGTCCTACCTTAGTTTTTACCACACAGGATCATCACCAATTGCCATCTTGGCGGGGTGACCTGACCAGACAGCGGTTGCAGGTACCGGGGCTAAGCAGAGGCTCCTACCCCCTGCTCAGCCCCTGTTGAAGCAGACGCCGTGCAAGCCTGATTTCACGGGGACTTCAGGTGCTAGGTATGAACATGCTACTACAGGTCTTCATGAGGGTGCACAGTGACTCCCATCTAGCTTAGTTGTGTGGTGACGATAGAGAGCTGGGTATCCTCCGTTCCCTCGTGACACCCCCGACATCCCGTACTAAGGAACTGCTATGCCAGCCTCAACCCTATGCTACGTACTAGGAGGATAGCCAACCCTACGTCATGAGTTTTGGACTGAGTTTCTTATCCTTATGTTGTTTTTACTACAGTGTTCTATGGTGTTGATGGTAGAGAGATGGGGATCCTCCGTTCCCTCATATATCCCTGGAGCCCGTTCCGTCCCCGCGGTAAGGTGCAGTATCGCCTGACACCCCCGACATCCATACTAAGGACTGCTATGCCAGCCTTAACTCTAAGGTACGTACTAGGAGGATAGCCCACCCTCGATCGTGAATCATGGACTGTACGTATTGACCCTGGATAATCTATTATCCCTGTGTTGTATGGTAATCTGAGAGCAGACAATCCTCCGTTCCCTCGTATGTCCCTGCAGCCCGTTCCGGCCCCGCAGTAAAGTGCAGTATCTCCTGACACTCCCGACATCCCGTACTAAAAAACTGCTATGCCAGGCTCAATCCGTTAACCACGAACTAAGAGGATGACCAACCCTAAGATACCGTCTGGTATGGAACACAGGACCTTATGTGAATCGTGCAAATGACCTAACCTGTTGGTTGACCTACTGTCGCAAACCGTAATGGTACAGACCAGAACAAGAACTGCCCTCTCTCACATAGTACAGGATAGCGCAGCGGAAGGCTAAAATACCAATGATCAACCCAATCAATGTTTCAATGCAGACCAACCACACATCATCATCATCGCAAGGTGTGAAGGGCCTGGCGCTAAACACAGGAAGCATGCAACAGGTCCAGACCATACACAGACGAAGAGGAGGGGATCAGACGAAGAGGAGGGGAAAGATGGGAATGTCGTCAACACCAAGTCTTCGGTACA